ATGAGCTGATTTACTGATAAATCAGAGTCCTTATGGTCCTTATGCTTAGTCATTATGGTATATGGTATTTCCCATATATATATATTCATATATATAATATATATGTATATATATATGAATATATTATAACATGTGGACTATATAGTTTTTTCTATATTTTCAGTCTCATTTTAAGATATTTCATCCGTTTTTATCATTTCTGCAAATTTTCCAAAGTCATTGTCAGCTACTAAAATTTCCTTTTGTATATATTGCAAACGATATGAAATGTTTGAAAATACTGAAATCAAATTAATAATTTGATATCAATTGGCTTCTTTCTTTACTTTTTTTGCCTGCTTTATGCAGTCTATTATTTGGTAAAAGAGAAGTTGAAATCAAAAATTACTCTTCTCCTATTTCCATTTCTTGTTTTTTGAAGTCCTATCTTCGAGATTTTGTTCATAGTTGTAAAATTTAGATATTTTTATTATTCTCCTTTTTGCACCATATACCCTTTCACTGATAAATTTCAAATGCTCTCTACACGAGAAAATGTTATTGATACTAATAAAGGAGTTAGAATTTGTTGAATGCAAGAATATTAGTATTGCTATTCTTCGATATTGTATATTAAAGTGACCGTTGGATGAATTCTAATAATTACTATTCATTGAATGGATTACATTTTCTAGTTCGTTATTTTTATTTCTTTTAATTAAAGATGCTATTTCCCTGATATTACGACTTTTTTGCAATTTTTATTCCTTTCAAGAAGTAATAATTAAGAACCAAATGATTGCATGCAAAACTAAATTTTTATTTCAGTTTTTTATCAATTAAAATCTATGAAATATAGGAAAAGTTTTGAGTAAAATATGACAAATATAAAAAAGCTATGACATTATCCAATTAGAGTAAATCATGCGAATGATACCTATCAATGATCAATTACTATTAGTGTTGAAAATATGAAGGATATGAAATGACTGTTGAAAGATAGCTCGCTTTATCTCATCGTTGGTCAATTTACTATTGCCATAATAATTACTGATGATACTAGATAGATGAAATATAGTATAGAAAGCATGAGTAGAGCTAATTGTTGTTATGCAGAATTTACATTTCGGAGGGCCTGATCGCTCTTCGCTCTTCGTAACCCATCATTTAGACATCATCAATAATTGTAACGAAAAGAGCGGTTTGGTATGTTCCCTTCATACCACATGGCTTATTCTCATATTATCTTTTTAACTAAGTAATACTTCATTTTACAGTTTTTAAGAATATATTTTCAACTTTTAAACTTTCCATAAACAATTGATAATAAGACATAGACTTAATTATTATTTTCCACTATTTCTTCTCTCTCTTTTAAATAGCAGTGACAATTATTTGCTTTGTATCTTGTATCTTGTTTTGGAATTGTTCAAAAATCCATGTGACAGTCTTGATATTATCCTGATTTAATTTCATTTCAAGTGCAAATCACATTTTTGACCGTTATATTTCAACAATAATTTATATTGGTCAATGGCCATTTCTATTGCAACCATTTGGTAAAATAGACAGTTGTCTCGATTTGAACATATCTTTCCGGATAACTTGAAATGTTCTGTTATACTTGGATACATATGTTTAAAATACGTTAACTATGATATGTGTAATTCAATCCATTCGTTTTGTTCATATTTACTGTCTGCAAAAAAAAAAAAAAAAAAAAGTGTATTGCATTGCTATTTTTAAGCTACGATTAGAATCGGGTAAAAATGTAGTGATAATAGAAAAACAATAATGATTAATTTATTAATGATAAGGTTAGCGCATAATTCATGAATGTAAATATCCTTTTACAATGTTTCCTAAGCTTTATGCATGCAAAATTCAAAACATTGAAAAATTCAATTTTAATAATTTTCATCCTTCTGGAGGAAAAATTTCGGAAATGCGAAAGATTTAATGGATGATATGCGAATCTCAATCAATTCTTCCATTTCATTTTGACCTATTTGGTAATTTACCTGATTTAATCTTCTTTTTTTTTGCTTTGTGGGGAAAATGATAAGGGAAGTTTCTGAATTAGGCTTATTTGAATCAAACTTGAATCACATTCTGAATCAAACACATGGAACCAGTTGAGGAGGTACTAGTGATATAAGTGCTCACCTTAATGCAATCTATATGAGTCATGGCTTGGTAGTTTAATATTGGTGAATAGCAATGACTAGCAAAGCATTTTCGTAAAATTACGGATATTGGAGAGGAGGAGAGAGAGAGGGAGGAGTGGCTGTTCACTGGGTAGATAGATAGATGGATGGATGGACGGATGGATGAATGGATGAATTAATTGAAAAAGGGGGGGGGGGCCAAGAGGACGGGCTTCATCAACCAATATTACCAGTCCCTGTTAACACATCGACCGACCTGTTTCTTCGTTTCTGGAATATTTCTCCTTCCTCTTCTTCCTACATTTTGCTTCACTTCTTTTACCTTTTATGATTAGCATTATAAAATTTCATCTACAGTGATCATCGATTACTGGATCATTCACTTAGACTTACCAACATTTTGTAAGTTATCTCTTATTTAACAAATCCTGAAAATATCTCCGGAATTACTGATACTTACTGGTATTCGAGTGATTTATGGTTGTGTTACTCTCGATATCGGAACGTACTATGTTGGCCATTCGTCTGACGAGGTTTTTTATTTGCTTTTTTTTTTCAATGTTTATACTACGAATGAAACAAATTCTGATTGTAATTTGATCACTAATATTGCATGATACTTTCATCTATTACATTTTGTAAACAATTTTACAAGTGCGAAGAGAGAAAAACGATAGCTTTTCTCATTCCATCATTTTTAATCTTTTTATCACTTAAGTGATAGTATAATGTTAAAAATTGGAAGATTTCAAATAATACATTCTTGGATTATAATAAATTAATTTATTGATTAATAAATTAATTCGTATTGGCATTAATTAGTTGTGTTAATTAATTGGGATAAATATAACATAGGAATTGGTGATGTACTTTCAATCATGATCTATGTGGTTATCCATTCCCGTTTTCACTAAAACAGTTGCTTTTTGGTTTGAATGATATTGTTGTATATTAAAGCAAGTTTTTCTTTAATCCTCTTGGAAACTTTCAATTTTGTTGATCAGACACATATAATAGTACGATTTAGAAAGTCAGCTGACGGTCTCACTAATTCTTCTGCACAATTTACATCCAGCAATTACTAATTGCACAATCGTCATAGTGGACACCAAATGACCATCATTAACTCATTCATTGTAACAATAATGAATGATTTTGGCTACTTTACACTAAAACGTATTGTTTTTGTGCTTAATTCATTGGACAGCCCATAATATTACTTATTACTAAAATAATTTCATTGAGGTAAAAACGGAGGTTAAAGTTCAGTTTTGAATTACCAAAATTGCTTAAAACGAATAAAAAAAGAAAAAAAAAGATTAGTGGAAAGGAATGTCAAGTTGTACGAACGCATTAATTATAAGCCAATCTGACCATCTCATATTCCATTTGTCGGATTGTTTTGTAATGGAATGAAAACAATATTTAACAAGCAATAGCACAACATTTCTATTCATGTAATGACGTAATTCACGCAAATTAGGATACTATTCCGTTGCTTCTATCAGGATTTTATGTTGCATGTTGAAGTGATTTGCGATACATATGCATTGCTTGCAAAAATTCAAATTATAAAGGCGAGATTGCATGCCAATGATACATCCCTCCTGCAAACTGCATGTTGTATAAAACAAGAATGGATGCAAGCAATTTGGAAGTAATATCATAAGCTTAATAACGATGGCATCCTCAAGAAATGCTTTTTAAGGTAGGTTAAATGACGAGCACTGAAAAGGGGTGGACTCCCTTTCTTCTTCATTTCTCTATCTCTTTTCCTCTTCTTCTTCTCTCTTGGAGAGGATAGAAGAAGCAATGAGGTGACCGTCGTCTCCTTTCTTTCTTCTTCATCTTTCACAAATAACTACTCCCTTTGTCGTACTTTTCTCATCGTTTTCTTTTATTTATTTATTGATTTATTTATTGGTTTATATATTTATTTATTGATTTGCTTATTTTTCTGCCCTTTTACTAAGCAAATTTTGTGATGTATGATTTAAAATTCATACTACAATCATCAGATGTTCTTTCTCCAATGGATGATTCTGCCAAAGGCATTGGCCAGTCGCGTTTTATTTTTATGACTTCCTGAAATTAAATCCAACTATTATACGTCTTACAAATTTCGATTTTTGATCAAATTTGTTAACATCTGCATGCCAAACACAGCACTTGGATTACAGGGATGCGACATTTTAATCCCAGTAATCTAAATTTCCGGGATAGTGAATTTCACCAGTAAACCGCATCAGTAGTTGTTTTAATGTATGAAACTTTCATGATTCCTTTTTTTCCTCCCTCTTTCTTCCTTTCTCTCGCTCTCTCTCTCCGTCTCGCTCTTCCTCCCTCTCTCTCTCTCTCTTTCTCTCTGTCTCTAACTTTCTTCTTCTGAGAAATGATGGGAGATAACGAAATTCAGTTATGTTGTAACCTTTCACTTGTATCATTTATTAATTAGTACATATAAAGCTGAGAAATACCTGAGTAATCTACGTGAATAATTTAATATGATTAATCTTAAAATGTTTCTATCAGCCTAATAATGATTGTTTAATTTTTTGGCATCCAAAGAAAAGTTTTGTTTTCATGATATAAGTTTCTTTTTCCTTTTTTTTTCCACATTTAATATTCATATCTTTTTCCATTAATTTTCTTTCTTTTTTTTTAAAAAAAAGAAAATATATTTATTGAAATTATAATTCAACTCTTTTGTTAAATTTACCCATAATGGAGACGGAATAAATCAGTTACGGGAAATAAAGGCAATGGTGATTGTACGAGTTTGAATTTTGAGTTTGAATATTTTTGTTGGGTTGGTTTTGGTGAATTACGTTTTCTGACCTTGCCGCTGAAACATCAATGACAGTAGCAACGAGAATACATTACCGATAGCTGTTGATTCATGTATGTATTATTGTGTTGCACAGGTGCTGTCTCCTCCGGAGTGTCGTACAGCACGGCATCTTCCTCACCGGATCCTTCCTTCTTCCTTTCTTGGCCTCCTTTTCCCGTTTTCACGAAATGACAGCAAGCCTTATATTTTCACTTCTTTTCTTTGAATACTAACGCTATTGTTGGATTAAAGGAAAAAAAAGGGGACCTGAAAAGGGGAAGTTTTAACATCTATCCACAACCTCTACTTATGACTACTTCTATCTCAGTCTCTCTCTCTCTCCCTCTCTCTCCCTTCCAAGATGGCAATACTGTCATCTATCTTCATGTAGTTAGAAGTTCGAATAAATTGACGTGATATAAGAATTGACTGTTCATTCCACTACAAAAACAATAAGTAATATTGTATATAAGTTGTGGTTCAGAAGCTATGGAAAATACAGTATATTCCATAGTTAGAAAGGTGAGCAGGAGTTGAAAAAAAAAAAAAAAAAAAGAAAATATTATTAAAGAAATGAGAGAAGGTATAAAAGGAAGATAACTTAGAGAAATTATTTTATCAGCTGAAATAGCATTTTAGCTACTGTCATTTTTACTGGGTACTAATTGATATGAAGTTGTAAGTGATGTAAAGTTCTTTACCACACGATAATTGTTTCATTTGTATACATATATGAACGTACCGATGAAAGCAGATAGCCTTGACGTGTCGTATCTGTCGTTATATGCCATTGCGAACGTCTAATACTGAATGTGTTTTGATGAATTTCAGGTGACATTGCATAAAATACTAGTGGATTCATCAATAGTCATCGACAACAAGAAGAGAGTATATTAGTGTCGCTGCTTGCGACAGGGTCACATATTTGACTGTTAAGAAGAGAATACGATATTATATTACACATTTGCATTCAATCTATATTATTATTATTATCATTGCTACTATCACCCGGACATCAGGATTCACTGTTATTTCCACGAATAACTTATTCAGAGTGAGAGAGGGAGAGAAAGGGAAAAGGGAGTCAATACAAGTAACTTATCCGATCATGAAAGTAATTGGCGTATTTGATGATTGGTTGTATTGGAGTGTTCTTGTATGATATTAGTGGTGGTGTTAGCGGCAGCTATAGGTCAAGAAGTGACCATTGAGTAGCTGAAGCTATAGTAGTACTGGTGGTAATTCGGGCAAAGAGTTCAACTAAACTGGACGTCTACAACAATCTACTGCCTTTCTTTTTTCCCACTCTTGCTGTTTCACTTTTCGTTTACATTATCACCATCATTATCATCAGCAATGCATTGAACAGTCATCCCTAAAGGATAGTTTTCTAAACGAAATATGTTTTGTCATACAACAACAGCTTATAATACTTCAAAGTATTTTACTACTCTGATTATCATTACTATTCTATTATCAATGGGAATTGCAAATGCTGATGAAACGACTGGTTAGTTCTCTATTTGATTTGTGTTATTTTTAAGTGATAATTAACTTTGAGCTTTACCATATATATAAGGATATTATTAAAAGATTTGAACGTTTGCTTCATGCCTTTCTCTTCTCTTTCATCATCCTTTTTAAAGAAAATCTATAATTCATAAAAGCAATGAATGGGTGCAAAAGCTTTTGCCTTTTGCTGAGTATATAATAAATAGTCTTTCAGTAATTGTATAGCATTCATATACATATATAATAGTTAGCTGATTTATAACTTAAGCATGAATATAACGATTTGTTGGGTTTTTTTTTTTTGTTTTTTTTACTAGAAACACCTATGTGTAATAAAAATCATTCATCTAAACTGTTTACTGTAATAAAAATCATTTATCCAAACTGTTTACTGTATCGAAATAAATTGGCAGAAATGATTTTTGAGAGATAAATTGGATAATGAAATGAAAGAGTGCATTACTGATATGATTGGGAGAAAGTAAATGGTTTTGTAGAAGTAAGTTAGTGTTGTTAAACGAAGTGAATGTTATCAAAAATACTAGAAATATAAGGTAGATATTGTAGTAACAAGGAAAAATTTTTTGAAATATTTATGATTAAACATTAATTTTTAGAAGAGCTTTTTTTCTTTTTTTTTTTTTGTTACGCCTATTCCTTTATCTTTTCAACGTTTATTTCTCGCCATGTTGGACATATTTGTGACATGCACATCTGGTTGAAAATGATCGAAATTATTGTGGGCATTGATTTAAAAAAAAAAAAGAAAAAGGGATGAATAAGCTTTATTATTTTGTTAGGCTTATCGGTTCATCATTATCTGTTATATTGCTTATCTGGTTGCACTATCAATGATGGCTGACCTTTATGAATCTATCTTGCCGCATTTATGCTTCTTTTTTTTTTTTTTTTTTAAACAAACAATTTACGTATTATTTACCCTTGATTTGATGATAGACTAATCCTTTGGGCTCTTTTTATTTGCGCCTTTTTTTTTTTTTTTAAATAATTGGCCCACTGTTTTTTCTATCATTTATAGTGAAATCGCTGGCGATAATGATGCTTTCGGTATTTTAGTTGGATTGCTTCGGATTTCCTGCACTATCTTCAGAGATGCTAATGGGAAATGGGAAACATCTCTAATTAAACTATCAAATATAAAGTCTATGATAATAGTTTGTCATCAATGTTATTCTTGAGCAATGGAGATGTTCAAAATTTTAGATTACTAAAATAGGGGTGAAAAGAAGACTTCATTTCACTTCTCTGATTACTTTTGATTACATAAGGAGGAAATTCCAAGGGCAAGATGCAATTCTTTTTGTCATTTTGCTGCTAATATTGTTATGAGAATGAATGAATGGAATAGAGTGAAATTAGTTACAGAGACAGAATGACTGGATTGAAGAACCGGTTCGATGTTTTGTTCACCGTATAATCATCATAAATTGTTTTTCAACATATTTCATTTGAAAGATACACCGCATTAGATACTTGTCATTCATTATGTACATCCCTTCCTAACTTGTGCTAATGTTATGTATCGGTTTCATTTTGCAAAGCAAATCATTTACATATTGAAAGTCTCACTGTTCAAATTTTCAAAATATATTGAAAAATTCTACAAACTCAAAAATCCCTTTTTGACAGCAACAGCTATTTAATCTGTAGCGATAAGGTTGTAAATTTCAGATGTGGTAAGGAGAATTGGTGTATTGGTTCGATGTGTTTTGTTATTAGGATAGAAGTATGTGGTAAAGTAGTACTATATCAGTAGAGATTTTGTTTGATTAAGCTAATTAAAGTTGACATATAACGTTGAAATGGTTCCAATATAGGGAGAATTTGATGTGTTTTTATTTATTGCACATTGTTATTGAATTTGCGCAATTTAACTCCTAACATCTATAATCACTCATGCGTAAAAGTAATATTTAATATTGATAAAACGAATTTGTTTACACTTTTTAATTCAACTAAGAAATTTTCATTTCTGGAATTGTTGTGTTGTTATAGTTGATTAAATTTTACACTGTTACAGAAATCTGAATACTTTTGTAGGTCTTTTTCGCTATTCTTTTGCGTAAAAATTTTTTGATAATATCATCTAAGCAAGAAAATTTTGGGAAAAGAAATTATTGCAATTAAAGAAATAATTTTTATCGTTACACTTTAAATATTGAAGAAATGAAGGGGGGGAAAAAAAAGTTATGTAGCAGGAGAATGTTGAAATGCTTTTAGGAAGCTACCAAAATGATCCATATCTTTTTCGTGAGAATTTCACTATAGCTTTTTTTTTTTTTTTTTGATGCTTATTTAATGAGTGAATACAAAATTATTGGTCAAATAAATGTGAAAAAGCTGATCTGT